CATATAACTTGCATGCTGCCTTTCTCTTGAAGTGGGATCCAATGAAGCTCACATCACAAGGAAAATTTGATTGTTAAAAGCTTTCTCAGTGCCGCTGGAATTGACATAGAATGCTGAAGCAGACAAAAAAAGACTAGATCTGAAATAATAATATTAATTTAGCTTGTTTTACTAGGTTATTTAGAGGATTAGATAGGAAGGGACTGGCTTCTTGAAGGGGGTTGGTCTGCAGAGAATTTTTTGCCCCTGCAATCCCCTTAGAGCTGCATGGGCTGTCAAAAATGCTAAAAATTAGAACAAAAGATTAAAAAAAACCAAATGAGCAACAGCAAAAAGCAAACTAGGCTGTATCTGAGAGCCCGCATCTAGTTTAGATTGAATAACCTTTTCATACCTACATGGTGAAAGTCTGATATGCATTTCGTAAGAAAAAGTTAAATTGCACAAGTGAGATTCATTTGTTTTATCACTTCTGGAGTCTTCTGTTACAAATTTCAGCATGGCCACAGACTGATTCAGGTTAAGTGCTGAAAATTAAGCCTCAATGAATAAAGAAACACTTAAGATAAAATAAACATCCACTTGAGAAGCACACTGATAGGAATAAACTATATAGCTAAGCACATCCAAACCCATAGCTTCCTGACATAGGGAGCTGAATACAAGTTTTTGTTTGGTAAACTGTACTGATGGTCAGTTTGAGCGTCTGGTTTCATAGATAAACCATCTATTAATATAATATGTTTCACTAACTGGAAAGGTATTCCTGCACAAGCACCATTTATACTTCTGTAAATGAATTGGCTGTCATTGAAAACTATAAAATGTCTAAGAGCTTTACCTCCTAAGGTTCCATTTTCTGTCCATGGTTTGTCTGACAAGGTGATAGGGATGTAATTCTTCACCAAGCTTCCTCTCAAAGGAAGCAATGAGTAAGCTAAGAATCATTCTTCCTACTGCAAGAAAATCTTTAAAAACTTTACATTTTCAAACTCTATTCGCAATTTGGAATTTCTTCTGTACAGGATCCATCATTTTCTGAGTATCAAATGATTTTTTTTATGGAGAAATAGTAATTCATGCTCAGAGAAAGCTTTTACTTGTACAAAAATTGCTGTTGCCTATCCAAATCTTTTTTCATAAAATAAGTCCTGAAGATCAGTATTTTCTGCACAGAACATAGGATTTTCTGCTTAATGAATCATATTTCTTATACACCAAAGCAACCACATGCAAATTTTGCAAAGTATTCCCAGATTCTTCTTGTCAGAGTTTCTCAACACTGGAAAAAGATGTTTTGGACATTAAAAAAATATTTTTGAGAATCCTTTCTTATCCCACATGGACAGATTCTGACATGAATTTCTTAATTAAACTTTTAATCCACCAGCTTCTACCATGCAAGCATTGAGGTGATGAAAGCAACATGTGCCTAACATTTCTAAAAGTGAAAGATTACAATTATTGGTGTTTATTTGCTAGAAAAAACACTATTACATGGGAATCATGGGATGGAATGGAGAGCCATGGCTACAAAAAAAAAAACAAAAAAAAAAACTGTTGCCCTGAACTGCACTGAGGAGGGCTTTAATACAACCATGATATAAGCAGGTTATTTGCAGCTGGTAGTGAGTTCGAATAGTTTAAGCCCAGCTTACACAATCATTGCCCACTGTTTTGACTGTTGTTGAGGTTGAAATACTTTATTGACCAACAATCAAAATCCCCTAAATCTATCATTCAAATGATGCAGCCCCCACTCCTACCAGGCTTATTTCCATGTTGATGGAGAGCAAGGGGATCAGCAGAGATGCTTCCAGTTATTTTGCTGTATCTGGACACATTTCAAGGACAGCACCTGAGGCTTTCTGGAGGTCTCTATGGATGTCTTTGGCACAGTGTCTGGCTACAGCAAAATAGCTGGCTGTATAGCCATTTGTCTGCTCCCCCCCCCCCCCCAGCCATCAAAACTCCACAGTTTAAAAGGTGTGTTTCAAGGGTGACCCAAGAATTACACTGTCAGATTATTTGGTAGGAAAATCTGTTTCCATGTCTGTCTTCAGAACATCTTCTAGCATGTATTGGAACAAGGGTTGGACTACACATTAGAAAAAGCACCAGCTATATTTTCAGGAAAACTTTCTGACTGGTGATACCATCCTTTCATATATAAAATATAAAGGGAACATTTTGTGGGCATCTTTTATTCTGTAAGGTTTCAGAAGCTCCAGCATTGATAGTTTTACAAATATCCATATTTTACAAAGTCATAAGATTATGAAAGCCTACATTCATTCACTAGTAACTGGAAATCATTCAGCTATTGAGAAGCCATTGGGGAGACTGAAAAGAAAGCATTTGCATGACTATTGGAGTTTTTCCCCTCTTTACTCATGAAAACTATTTCCAAGGCGGGCTGGCTTAAGAGGCAGTGGTGTGTGACAGTCAAAGCTCAAGCAGGCTATTTTAACAGCAACCAAATTTTTTAGAGTATTTGGAAATCAGCTTATGAATGCGTTTCTGTTCACCAGTTAGGCTTGACTGAAATGGAATCCAGAAAGCTGCTAAGTCTTATGCCGAGCCACTTCCTCCATCTCCTAAAATTGAAAATGATTCCTAATAGGTATTCCTGTGCTGCCAAAATGATTTAGCATAATGCGCTGAATAAGATCGCTAAGTCAAAATATCTTTCCCTAAGTGATTTTCTTGCTGTGTCTCTGAATGTCAGGGGGAAAGAGGCAGACGCTGCATGCTGAATACCATTGCTGGTTTAAAAGTTTTACACTGAATAATTCATACTTGGGAAAGGATGAGCTTTTATTCCATGTATAATATGGAAAATGCTCAGCAATAGTAATGACATTAAGCCTAGAGTTTGTATTTGACCTTCTTCTATACCAAGATCTTTTACAACCACAAAGCCATAGGTGTCCACCATGATTTTTGTCTTTTTCTCTAAAATTTGGACTTGTTAACAATGGCTCAGAAAATGTACTTGTTTAGACTCCAGCTCCAAAAATCCCTCAGCAAATATGACCAGTACCTTTCTAGCTGAGGGATTCTGGGAGACTACAGTTGTCCCTCCAAATTTGTGAGTGAAGCATTCACACATTTCACTGCTGCCCTATATGTGACCCAAAAAATGTCACTAGATATTTGTAGGTCGCCCAGCATGATTCTATGGTCAACTTGTTGGAGTATTTACAATTGCTGAGAAATGCATTTTTCTAGCATTTGCAAGTGCTATTTGTTTTAAAGGTTTTTTTTTTCCAGTTTTGTAGAGAGGACACCCTGTACCCTTAAATGTGGTCTCTTAAAAAAGCCCAATTTCCAGCTCTGAAGGGGGGAAGAGGTCTGTGGTATCCAACAAGAGTAACTCCTTTATAAGCAGCTACGCTTTATTATAAAAGTGCATTTTTTTTAAAAAAAAATCTTTATTGTGGAAATTTTACAATCATGGGAAGGGATAAGGTGTGAAGTGGGGAGGGAGGGGGAGGGTAAGTGGGGGAGGTGCGGAGATATTGGAATGGATTGGGATAGGGAAGAAAAGGAAGAAGAAGAAAAGAAAAGGGGGATGATTAAAAGACTTCCAGTCCATTCCATAGGGAATAGCTAAAAGATTCTTTTACTTTCTCTTTGTCATGCCGCTTTCCTTCTGCTTTTCTTCTCCCTATTTCTTAATTTAATCAATCTGTATTATTTTCATTTCCTTCTCAATGGTAGCCAGTCTGTTTTATTCCTTTTATTTTGGTCATAGGTCAGGAATAATAGAGAGTCACTGTCCATATACTCCCTTATTTTAGTAACCCATGCCTCCAAGATTGGAAGCTCTCTGTCCTTCCATCTCCGTGCCAGGGCAGTTCTAGCAGCTGCTATCAAGTAATATAATAACTTATCATTATTTTTCCCCAAATCGAAGTCTATCAGATTTAACAAAAAATATTCTGGTTTTAGGTTAAACTTAATCTTTAGAATATTTTGTATATGAGTATTATATCTTTCCAGATCTTCTTTACCACTTTATAGGTCCACCAGGCATGGTAGTATGAACCTATTTGCTCACCGCACTTCCAGCAACTATTATTTAAATTCTTATAATATTTAGCTAGCTGTTGTGGTGTTAAGTTCCAGTGGAAGAACATACCAATTTTCAGTTATATTGGTGAATCTTGAGTATTTTAACTAATACATATATTAGACTAGAAACTTCTGGAATGGGATACTGAGACAGAACTAATAAAAGACAATATGATCAAATGGGCAGTGGATATCGGACACTCTATCTTGCCAAAAGATTGGGAGGACATATGAGAAAAAAGTGTCATTAGGAACATCACAGGTACACAGCATCTGTGATAATAACTTTTTAGTTGGGGAGGAAAAGTAATGTTCTTCTGAGAATCTCTCTTTCAAGAGGCAAACTGGCTTCTCTGGAATGTCCACAGAGTGAAAGGGATGACACATTTTACAGTAATACTGTGAGCAATCCTTTGTGTCCTACCATTGTAAAGATCTGATGAGATCACCAATGGGTGACTATCTTTGCTCTTAAGCTTCTAGGTCCCAAAACACAAAACCATTCTGCAGAGACAGTATCTATCCCAGACTGAGCTCATTCTTTCTCACTGAATCTAATTGACAACATAAATGGCTCACTTCTTCTAAGAGAAAGTAGTTGATTCTCCCCATCCATTTTCCAAACGTCCTAAGAATGCCATTTTGGTGCTTCAAGAATGTAAAAAAGTGAATCCTGAATGATCTTAATGTCCTATTAATGTCCTATTAATTCCTGACAACAAACAGAATTTTATCCTACTGATCATAAGGAGTTAATGAAACTTCTAAAGAACAAAACCAAGATTATTTGCAGACACTTTTTAAAAACAGAGAATGCCAAACATACTGTATTTGGTACAAACTAGATTGAATTTTATCCAGAAAAAATAACATCACCGGCCACCAAAATAATTAAATGATACATCTTTTGAGTTCCAACATACCTCATCATAGATGTTGTCATTTCTGCTGAAATCACCAGCTCTCCTGGGAAGTATATGGACATGGACATGCTAAAAAACAAAAAACAAAATGAAATTATACCAAATATGACACATTCTAATGATGTTTTGCTGTTTTTTATGACAATTTTAGAATGTGCTTATGACTTTGTCCCATGAGGTAGCCAAATCATGATTGAAGCTGGAATGTCATGTTTGGTGATGGTTCCTTTTGCATGGTACCATATGCACCCCACTGCTGGTCTCTATTCTCCCTGTAATTATCCTGGCCTACACTATTGATGGACAAAACACATTACTGATTCCCAATCCCAAAATATTCCCATCACCAGCCTTGGTGCAAAAAGGTCCATTCCAACTCCATACCAGGATGCTGGCAGTATATCAGAAAGTGGGATTCTCCTCTCACTCTCACTTTTCCAAAGCTTTCTGGCTTCGATTTATTTTCTGTTTTACAGTTATTTGCCTTTTTTGTTTTTCTTTCCCCCTAATGTTTGTTATTTAAAGACAAAAATCCACACGCACATACAAAAGCAGGTTTATACTAATTGAAAGTTTTGATTTATTTTTTTTAAAGACTTTTTATATGAATTCTAACCACTACTAATATTACTCTACTACTGAAAGCCTACTGCAGATAACAAAATGTAATTACAGAAATGAAACAGATAGGGACAGAAATCTACATAAAAAGAACAATACTAATAAACAAACATAGACAATAGTAGTCTATAAACCTCACACTCGCTGTATGTTGATTTTTATATCTTTTTAATCTTTAAATACTATTTATATTTCTATAAACCTTCCTATTTTAGTAACTTTTTCTAAATTACTAAAACTTACAATAAACACCCCTCCCCTTTATCATAACTAGTGAGTTAAAAGATTCACACATGCTGAACAAATATTTCTTCTTCACCAGTCTAGTTTATTTGTTGTTTTTCAAAGCTGAAATTGCAAAATTGCTTTCAAAAATTAAAATTAAAATTTAGAAAAAACTTATAGAACAGCAGAAGTGTGGAAAGGTAAGGTAACAAGGGTACACAGAATTGCAGAAGTACAACCATAAGACCATGAATGGCTGAATTGGTGAAACTGCACAAATGAAGAGAAGTGTGATTTTGAATGTGCCCATCTCAGTATGTATGTGCATCAGTAACAATGGAACTGCAATGGAATAGTGGGTTCATGCAAAAAAGGTCTTCGGTTTTATTAATCTTATCCCGAAATGAAGTGTGGATCATATGGCACTCCATCTGATGTTGGAAAGCCACAGACATTTTCTATATTCAGGTTAAGAATAATAATTAATGCTAAGAGTTGTAATCCAACAACATCTATAGAACCACATAATTTCCACCCCTACCTTAAAACCCCAAATCACCTGAGCAGCTTATAAAACATTATGTAAATGTATTTGAGTGTATTTGAAATGCATTTGTAATAAAGATCACTTTATTTCTGTTATTGAAAAGTGACATTACTTTTTTTCATCAGAAGAACACAGAAAAGGAAAAGCAAGGGAAGCTGTATAGACATGTGAAAGTCTGAGGGGATGTTAAGAAGCTTTGTTGAAATATTAGAAGTTGTCAATCTAAATTTTATTTTTCATTGAAATGACAGATTATCAGACAGTTGACTGTCAAGTCTTTAAAAGTGACAAGTGTAACAATTGTTCAACCTGGTTGTCAACAAATCAATTTAAATAAGGAGGATAGCATGGAGTATTAGAGAAAAATGTGTGGACTAGAGTTTTAATGAAATTATAAGTATACACCAAGATCTACTTTGTTCAACATATTTTTCCAACGGTTGCTTGTGAATTATCTCTTAGAGTTCCTTTATATGCAGAAAGACAGTCAAAGGTATTTTCCTACCTGATGCAGAATAGCTAATTGCACCCCAAGATGCATTATCTCTAGAAATAAGTTATTTAAGCAATTGAGACAGAAATACTTCCTGCCTCCATAAATGTATACAAATTGGATAACTAATAGGCTTGTGCACAGATTTGATTTGGCCAGTTCCCTTTGGCTAATCAGGCTGGTTAGGCTTATTCGGATGACTGTAACTGCAAGGGCACATCCTCCATGTTTTTTTCCAGCCACAACAGAACAGTGGCTGTTGAAAACCGACTACCTTCGGTTACGAGTGGAGGCAGCTGCTAGAAGGAAAAGCTCAAGGTGGGGGGAAAGCAGTACTCCAGGGCCTGCCAGTCAAGATAAAAGAGAGGGCATTTTAAAGTTAGGATAGTTTCAGGTTGCTCACTCTTCCTTCCCTGAGAAATTGAGAAGTCTCCTTAAAATGCCTTGGAAAGCTGTGTACTGCAGGGAGAGAGTGCAGTGCATGTGCCTGTCTCTTCTGAAGTAGAAACAGCTTTAATGAAGTATTAAACCCAGTCTCCTCCACAGACAGAAGGGAAAGGATCGCAGAAAGAGTGGTATCTTAATTGTGATGCTTTTAATCCAGGTCTTAATGAAGGATATAAAGACAACAATGCCTAAAATGACAAGAAGGGAAGTCTGGGAAGTCCCCCCCCCCCATAATGGGCCAGATAGAAAACAAATATTTTGGCTTGCCAGATCAAAAATGGATTTCTGTAATTTGGGAGGCTCCCAAAAAACGGACTGGGATCCTCCCCCCTGAAATTCTGGACACCATAACAGACCACAGTTTATCCAGATTACATAAGATTAATAACTAAGAATTTGTAAAACCCACAAATCCACTGCTTGAAGCTGCTGCCTCACTCTGCATGCCCAGTACAATTGACCTTAATGTAACTACTCTCCCTATTAATCTGTATATGGTTTTGAACAGGTTAGCCTTACATATCTATTCTGCTAATATTCAGATATGAAAAAGAAATGTATCTTCCCACTAAATATCTCATAAAAGATATATATCTCCACACACACAATTAGATATATAACATCTTCCTGTTGGAATGCTCTAAAAGATTAGAAATTTTAATACCTGTGTTCAATATTTATTCATTCTTTTATTTATTTATTTTTTACAAAAGCCCACCTTTTCCCCCAAAAAAATTCCCAATGGACCAACTGATGTTGCATTAACTGAGACAGAACCCTGTTGACTAAAGTGGGTTTGTGCATATTTCAGAAATACACACAATATTTTATGATAAAACCTTTAAAAACCTTCAATGAAGCAGATTGCGTGTACCTTACCACTCCTAAGTGTAGTGCTGAGGAAAAAGGCTGTATTTAAGAACATCATGGGTGTAGAAAGGAAAAGAATGCATGGGTTTTTTGGGTATAAATCCTGATATCCAAAGTTTCTGGAGCAGGGGATATACTTGAATTTCAGTGGGTTGGGCAATGGCCTTATTGAGTAGTTTAAGGTTCATCTGGACCTATTTGTAGACAGCAATTTGGAAACTATTTTTGATACCATGTTTGTTCTTAGCAAATGAGACCTTACTGTTGTAGTTAAATGCAGGGGCACAGACAGATTTCTCATCATACATCTAATGCAAAACCGTAATTGTCAAAGGTTTAGTTTAGGAAGACTATTCACTCACCAGAATACAAAGAAATCTCAGGCTTGATCTACACTGCCCTATATCCCAGGATCTGATCCCACATTATCTGTTTTGAACTGTATTATATGAGTCTACATTGCCAGATAATCTGGATAGGCAGATAATCTGGGATCAGATTCTGGGATTGTACATGGCAGTGTAGATCCAGCCTCAGTCGGGGTGAATGTAATTCTGCAGACAGCTCTCTTGGGCTGTAACACGGCATCCTACAATTCATTGTTGTTCTTGTTGTTACTGCTGTCTGTTGTTTACAGGAGAAACTAAAGACAGTTATGTTTAAGGTTAAAAATGATTCCTTCAAGTAATACATCAGTGATAGTGTTCTGATAGTGTATTATACTAATACATCACAAGAGCGATAGTGCTCTTATGATGTATTAGGGCAATGCATCATCCCAGCATCATTGCCCTGATGATATATTGCTCAAAACCACAGTGCAAGCTTAAAAGAATTCATTGGCACCACTGGGCCCTCATTTGCACACTCACTTGGAAAATTAAGGGTATGTTGAGAAAAACTAAGAAGATAAAGAAACAGTGCCATACAAAGGAGTAGCAAACAACAATCAGAGACTATTACTCCCAACATGACAACTGGTTCATATTGACTGGGCAAGTTTGGATATTTTTGTCAAATATAAAGCTTTCCTCAACTCTGGCAAAAAAAAAATTATGGATTTCTATCAGTGTTTTAATTCCCAGAATTAAGCTAAAATTTTGCACTCTGTCAGATATAGAGAAAATTAGATTTAAGCACCTTAACCGTATAGAGGATTGCTGCATTAGTCATGTGTGAAGCCCACGCAAGAAGTGCTGGTTTCCATTTCATGTCCCTAAACCAAAGCAGATTATCACATCAGCCAGTTCAAATTCAGTGCCAGTTGTGCTTTCATCCCATCAATGCATTATTGATGGTTTGCTTTATTTAAAGATCCTCCAAGGATGTGCTTCCACCAGTATTTCAATGTCTTATCAGGTTACATCTTCAAGTTACATAATTTGCCATTTTTTCTCATAGTCTTGTCATCATAGATTGTACAAATGCACAAATCACACATCAAAGCTGGATACATATTCATATTTATACACTCATATATCACATAAGCATGTAATGGACTCCCATCTCACTTTATTAAAGGTACTGGAAATGCACATCCTTTTAAGTGGGTGAAGTAAGTAATTCGGTAGCACTGCCCCTTTATATGTCCTCTCACATAGTGAGAATTGAAATAAGGTACTATGATAGAAATGAATGGTGATAAATGACATACATTTTGATTAGAAAGAAATAGTCATCATACATCTACTTTTGAGAAGACATTTCATCCCTGTGGTAATTTTTCTACAACACTACAATGTACAGGGTTAGTCAAAATGAATAGGCCAATAAGAAAATTAATTTTAGACGAATGTATGTTTATTGTAACCAAACTACAGCTACGTAGCGACAGATAAACTATCAAAGTTTTGTCTCACCTTCAGA